GGGCGGGGCTATCATTTCACCGCCTGTGATTGGCCCTCGTTCCGCTCGTGATTCTTCGAGTTGTCCAATCACACACGGGTTTATGGGTTTAGTCTGTGAAAACACGCAATCAGAAGCGTCCACATCTCTGTGATAATTAGCATAGATTAGTGAATAAATGCCTCTGTCTCGCTTGTTCTAATTATCGTATCGTGAGGTTTGATCTCGCAGCAGCGTCATGCCTGAACCAGCGAAGTCCGCGCCTAAGAAGGGCTCCAAGAAGGCCGTCACTAAGACCGCAGCGAAGGGAGGAAAGAAGCGCAGAAAGAGCAGGAAGGAGAGCTACGCCATCTACGTCTACAAAGTGCTGAAGCAGGTTCATCCTGACACCGGGATCTCTTCGAAGGCGATGGGCATCATGAACTCTTTCGTCAACGACATCTTCGAGCGCATCGCCGGTGAAGCGTCTCGTCTCGCTCACTACAACAAGCGCTCCACCATCACTTCCCGAGAGATCCAGACCGCCGTGCGTCTGCTGCTGCCCGGGGAGCTGGCCAAGCACGCCGTGTCTGAGGGCACCAAGGCCGTCACCAAGTACACCAGCTCCAAGTAGAGCTCCGCTGCAGCGCACACACACACACAAAGGCTCTTTTAAGAGCCACACACCTTCTCGGTTGAAGAGCATCTGATGTTAGTAACTGTTGCGGCTTTGTTTATTTGAACGAAATACCATAGAAAATGGGGTCCACCAATTTAACACATTCAGACTTAACCGTTTCTATTAAAAGTTCTAGATTTAGAAAGATAATGGTCTGCTCTTTTGTGCACGTATTTGTGATTTCATGAGCTTTTATTCAAATTTGTTTTTAGAATAATTACATACAAAGTTCCTGCTCAAAACGCATGTGTGTAGTTTGCAAATAAGTCTGAAGGACTTGATTAGTTCATTAGTGGTGAGATGAAGCTTTCCAGCCAGATGTGTTAAAGTGGTTAATGCAGGAGAGATGCTAGAAATCTCTACATTGCTCTCTTTAATAAATCTTTACTCTATCAATGATCGAGAAGCTGAAGAACTACGTTTCTGTGGTAAGTGTGTAGTTTAGGTTTTGCTTCTGATAGTGAAGCAGTGTTAAAGCAGGTGTAGCAGGTGCCTCGTGTACAGGAAGCGATTTAACTTATTTCTGCAAAAAAGTAATTAACTACTGAAAGTTTTTTATCATGCCTTCATTTTTTGCATCAAATTATGGAGGGTTGTCTCAAGA